GAAGAGGAAGAAGAAAAAGGTAAAAATACAAATTATGAACAACAAATACACATCTATCAACAAGTGAATCTAAAAATCAAGTGAATAAATAATCTGATGAACAGAATAAACTGGTGATTATAATAGAATCAGGGACTTAGAAAGGGAATGGACTGACTATTCTTGGGGGGGGAAGGGTGTGGGGGGTGCGGGAAGAGACTGGACAAAAATCGTACACCTATGGATGAGAACAGTGGGGAGAGGGGTAAGGGCAGAGGGTGGGGTGGGAACCGGGTGGAGGGGAGCTATGGGGGGGTAAAAGAGGAACAACTGTAATAATCTGAACAATAAAGATTTATTTTTTTTAAAAAGAATTAGATCTCAGTGTCACTGCCTTTCTCAAGTCTTCACAGTAGTCCTTAGTCTGTAAGGCTCAGATGTTAGATTAGAGACCAGTCATGGCAAGGCACACACCAAATGTACCAAACACTGCATATACTGTGTGAAATACTGCAGACATACACACAATGACAACTATTTGTCAAAGTTAGGTAGATATGTCAATTAATAAAAATACAAATTTATTTAGTGTCATTAGTATATATTTTTCAATTAAGAGTTACTAACAATTTTATCTATTCTCTAAAATCTTTTCTTTTTTGAATGTTAAGTTACCACCTGCAGTGAACAAAAATTCCTTTTTTATAACCTGAAAAATCGGTGGCTAAGTATTTCGAATGACATCACATCACAAGCTGATTACCACCAGCAAGTAAATCAAAACCTCTTATGTAAAATTTCCTACCCACAAAAGGTACAGAGAATCCCTAACACTAACTAGAGACAGACAAACTGACAGAGAAAGGAAGACAAGAAAAAGAAAAAACTAGGAATTTTTTAAAAAATATGTTTTTATTGATTTTTAGAGAGGAAGTGAGAGTGAGAGAAAGATAGAAACATCAATGATGAGAAAGAATTGAACCATGACCTTCTGGTTCCTAGGTCAATTGCTAAACCACTGACCCACGCCAGCTGGGTTTGCCTAGCCCTTTAAAGTCCTCCATATTATCACATAATTTTGACCATGCCATGGCCAACTTTATTTCCTACTAATTACAAAAATTCTTCACCCCTGATAAGTTACTCTCTTTATTGACACACATAAAGGGTTCACATTTACCTTCAATCCCATTCCCTTCTCTTATCCAAAACCTATTTATCCAAACCCAAGGAGTCCATGAAGGCATGCTTTCACTTCTCTTCCCTTTATCTTCCTATAGATGTGTAGTCTACAGAAGTCATTTGACAGCATCATAAAAAATAACTGTGTTGAATGTGTTGTTCAAATGATAAAATAAGATAAACAATTTAAAAGTACTTTGGAGATTTCAAGTTTTTATTTTCTGAACAGAATTAGGTTTTTTTTAAAAAGGAATAAATCAACTGACTGCTATCACAAAGCAAATGACAATCTTTTGGGATGCGCTACCTGGAAAACACTTTTCAGGAAAACCCTGGATTATTGTCACTCTCACTAGCAGCATCTTCAAAACAACATTTATTTCATTTGAGTAGATTTATACATTGAGAGCAATTCATTTCTGAGTTACTAAAGTTATTTGGCTTTACTGTCTATGCATAGAGCTTAAAAAGCCAAAGTACGCTGGAGACATTTTAAATTATTTAAAAATAAAATATCATTTTCTGCTAGACACTCTTTTCATTTAATACATTTTAAACTCGACTCAAAAAGTATTTCATGCCCTAACTGGTTTGGCTCAGTGGATAGAGCGTCGGCCTGCGGACTCAAGGGTTCCAGGTTCGATTCCGGCCAAGGGCATGTACCTTGGTTTCGGGCACATACCCAGTAGGGAGTGTGCAGGAGGCAGCTGATCGATGTTTCTCTCTCATCGATGTTTCTAACTCTCTATCCCTCTCCCTTCCTCTCTGTAAAAAAAATCAATAAAATATATATTTTTAAAAAAAAGTATTTCAGCTGAATGTTAAACATAGTAGCTTCATGTTTATAAATCTTAAGTGTACAATACTTTATTACTGACTATAGTTACAGTGCTGGTAGACACTCTTACAGTCCCTCTTCTTACCCATCACTGGTTGTGGAACACAATAGTGTGAGTAAGCTGCAGACAACACAATGGCCATTTGATAGGATCTCTTCAAGGTAATGGGCTTTAAAAGCATCTAAAGAACTTGATCATGTTAGTTGCTGGAAAGCAATGAAAAACCTTATGCCAAGGTGGAATAAAAATATTTAATTTCTAGGTATGCTTCTTTTTTTGGGGGTGGGGGGTGAGAGAGAGCTCTTATAGCTACAATAGTTATCGCTAACATTTAGCCCTTACTTCATACAAGCCAAACATTACCCTAAATCCTTTACATGAATTACTTCGTTTAATCCACGCACCAGTCTAAATAGATACCATTAATGTTATCATCACCCCCACTGCACAGTTCAGACACTAAGCTTTGAAAGATAACAAGTCCAAAGTCGTAAGTAGTAAAGCAGGGACTCAAACCCAAGTGTTCCTGCCACCTGCAGTCACACCTGGACGTAGGTAAGTCCTTGCTCCTAACGAGACATTACTAATGTGTCTTTGCGCAAGTCATACAGCAGCCCAGGGCCTCAGCCTCCTCACCTACGAAAATAAAGCAACGAATGCCGAAGTTCTGACAGCCGTCTAGCTCCAGTATTATCAACCTTACACTCTCCCTAGCGTCAACCAGCCAGTGCCATTCCTTCTTTTAGCTGAATTTAACTAAGACACTATTTACGGCTCACCTACCAGGTGTCCCGCCTGGTGCTGGGCAGCGGCCCAAACGCAGGTGCCCCATTCTCCCTTCTCTCGCCTGGAGAGAACAGGCCCCAGACCCCCCAGCAAGCCCCCGGAACCCAGCTGGGGTCCTTCCCCCCCGCCCCGGAACCCCTACCGGCACCCTCCCGCCTCAGATCCAGGCCCAGCTCTGGTCCCTGGATCCACTCACCCTTCAAGTGGTCTCTGCTGCCCGGCGCTGTGGGAGCCCGCGTCCCCGCAGCCCGGTCCACCGCCGGGGTCGACTGGAGTGACCCCGTCTGCGATCTTTCGGCGACTCTGCCTTTCGCCATGGCTATTGCAGCCAAGGTGGAGGGAGCAGGGTGATGCCGCGCCTCCTTAAGCACAACTCCGCGTCAGGTCCTTGGAACACCCAGGGCCACAACCACAGCCAGTTCCGGGGCGACCGCCTAACCTGAGTCGCCCTCAGTCGGCCGGCACAGTGACGCTCCGCGGAGACCTGCAGCGCCCACTCGCACTAGGCTCCGCCCCGCGGCGCTCGCGCGCCCGCCCAGTGACCGCGAGACCAGTCAGGGTGCCGGCCCTCCCCATCCACTGACCCGCCCCGCCTCGCGACTGCGGGGAGCATGCGCAGTGGCGGCACCGGAGTCACCCCGTGTGACTCGCGGACCGGGACTTCCAGTGCGCAGCTTGAGTTATCCGGAAGTGCAGTTCCTGCGGCTGCAAACCCTTTGTCCCGGACGCCGGAAGTGCCCACGAATGACTCGTGGGCGTTTTGCAGCGGGGGCTGGTTCAGCCCACTCCTATCTCCACCAATTCCGACGCTATTGTCTGGAATTCGGAGGGGCTAGAGAGAATGCTTGGTAAGCAGATGTTGGAGGACATGAAACCTGGGGCGATTCTACCGAGTTTCAGAAAACTAAGGCTGAGGAAGGAGCTATAACCTGTGAAGGTCACTGGGTGGCAGAAATGGGTTTAGAATCGGAGTTTTCCTGTTCGCAAGGGAGTGCTGTCCTTTGTCATCACCCTGCGCCCCTGGCTTGTAAACCCAGGTCTGCTTCATTACAGTTAGCTTTTCCTTTTGCTGAGCCCAAACGTGCCATTTTTTAGTTACTTTTTCCATTCCTACCTCTCCCTTCAGTAGTCGGTTTTCTCACTGGAGAGTGTATTGGAATTCCCTCTTGAAAGCAATTTGACCGTGTGTATAAAAGTACTGTTCCTATCCAGTAATTACATTTATAGGAACCTATTCCTTGGAAATATACAAAGAGAGTTGTTTCTAATTATTTATTAGTGTAATGGTAAATGTGGAAGCAATCTAAAAACACAACAGTAAAGAAAAATGGTTCAGGCCCTGGCCGGGTGTTCAGCTGGTTAGAGCATCGTCCAGAACCCGCCAATGGGCGGGTTCCATGCCTGGTCAGGGCACATACAAGAATCAACTAATGAATGCATGGATGAGTGGAACAACAAATTGATGTTTCAAACTCTCTCTTCCTTCCTCTCTTTCTAAAATAAAAATAAGTTTAAATGGTTACATAAATTATGGGAGATCCATTTAATGCAGTGGTTCTCAACCTTGGCTGCACATTAGAATCACCTGGGAATCTTGTTAAAATCCTGATTTCTGGGCCTCATCCTCCGGAAATTCTATTTCTTTGTTACTAATGATGAGGCCCAGAAATCAGGATTTCAACAAGATTCCCAGGTGATTCTAATGTGCAGCCAAGGTTGAGAAGCACTGATTTAATGGAACTGTTTTATGTGCACGTCACGTCCTCTGCCTACTAACATTAAGGCCTTCAGTGACCACTCTAAGAGGTAGATAGCCATTTTATTTCCTTCATAGTTGTTTTTAAAAGCAATAATTACTTGGATTATTTGTTTGCTTGTTTATTGTTTGCCTGCACCTCTAGAATGTAGGCTTTATTAAGGTAGCGGCCTTGTCTTTTTTTCATCTTGTATTCCCCAGCAGCTAAGTGGACATTTGATAAATTTATTGAATACATTTTCAGCCATAGAAAATGATATTTATGAAGAAACTAATAATCTCGAAAATGCTTATCCAAGAACTCCAAGAGCTAATTATAAAAAAACAAAAATATAGAAGACATATTTAAGCAAGTAAATTTATACCAGTGTAGAGGTCTTCTAGATATATTTTACTACACACAAAAATTAAGTATGAGAAAAACACACACACAAAAAAGCAACCCTCTACAAACTAAAACTAAGACCAGACTGAGAAAAAATATTTGTCACATAAATAGGAATTTCTATAAATTAATAAGAAAATCACAACTCGACAGAAAAGTGAACAAAATATAAATTGTCAATTCCCAGGAGAAAAAACTAAATAGCCAAAAACGGATGAACAGTCTCATTTATACAGTGTGATAACACTAATAGGTGCATGGATTGCAATAGCAGAAAGAGGCATATTTACATTAGAATGGGGCTGCAGTGAAGAATTATTTTTAAATTGATTTACAGGATAAGTGGAATTTTTTTTTTCAAGATCTTTTTTAAAAGTTGATTTTAGAGAGAAAGAGGGAGAAAAAGAGAAACATCAATTTGTTATTCCACTTAATTATGCATTCATTGGTTGATTCTTGTATGAGCCCTGACAAGGGATCAAACCTGCAACCTTGGTGAGATTATGTTCTAACTAACTGAGCTACCCAGCCTGGGCAGAATTGAGTGGGAATTAACAACAAAAGGAAGGAAGGAAGGAAGGAAGGAAGGAAGGAAGGAAGGAAGGAAGGAAGGAAAGAAGGAAAGAAGGAAGGAAAGCTACTGCTTATTTTTTAAAAAGCTGCAAGTAAGGAGAAGGAGAATGGAAATAAATAAGATGAAAGAGATAAGACCAAGGACCTTATGACAAAGTGCTAGAAGTTTGAACTAAACCCTCCAACATCCAAAGTCACTGAAGAACTTTTTTTCTGAGTGCCTTCTTGGAGCTAATTTACTTATTTGTTTGTTCATTTTACTTTTCAATGACAGTTTACATTCAATATTATTTTGTATTAGTTTCAGATGTACAGATAGTGGTTAGACAATTACATACTTTGCAAAGTATTCCCCCTGATATTTCCAGTACTCACCAGGCACCATACATAATTATTACAATATTATTGGCTATATTCCCTATACTGTACTTTATATCCCTGTGACTATTTTGTAACTACTAATTTGTACTTCCTTTTTTATTATTGTGAATCCTCATCCGAGGATATTTTTCCCATTGATTTTTAGAGAGAATGGAAGGGAGAAGGAGAGACAGAGAGAAACATCAATGTGAAAGAGACACATTAATTGGTTGCCTCCTGCATGCACTCCGACCAGGGCCAATGCAACCAATGTATGTGCCCTTGACCAGAATCATACTCGGGACCCTTCAGTCCAAAGGCCGACGTTCTATCTACTGAGCCAAACTGGCTAGGGCCTAATTTGTACTTCGTAATCCTTTACTTTTACACCCAGTCCCCATACCCGTTCCTCTCTGGCAACCATCAGTCTGTTCTCTGTACTCTTAGTCTGTTTCCGTTTTGTTTGTTCATTTATATTGTTCTTTAGATTTCACATATAAGTGAAATCATATGGTATTTGCCTTTTTCTGTCTGACTTATTTCACTTACCATAATACTCTCTAGGACAAGCATGTCAAACGCCAGCCACATGCACCCCACACGAATATTTTGCGGCCCAGCCAATATTATGGTGTGAGCAGTTATTATTTTCTTTTTAATACATTTTATTGATTTTTTACAGAGAGGAAGGGAGAGCGATAGAGAGTTAGAAACATCAATGAGAGAGAAATATCCATCAGCTGCCTCCTGCACACTCCCCTGTTGGGGTCCAACCCCAGCAGGTCCAGGGGTCCCCAAAGGTGTGGACGGAGTCGGCGAAGAAGGAATGACACGGAGACAGCGTGCAGTTGATCAGCAGCCTAGCCAGGTTCTGGTTTTTTTGTTTTGTTTTGTTGTTGTTTTTGTTTTGCTTTTTTTTAAGTATCGAAACATCTAATTTAATTATACCTGCCATTTTTACCAATTACACCAAGAATATAAGCTAGACTCTGTTTTCTCTTACACTGTCTCAAAATTCATTTAGCTCAGTCTTTTCTTAAGTGCTTCACCCGGTTTCTTTTGTTAGTTTAAACGCCTGAATATAAAATCGTTTTTAGAGACTACCGATTTCTAGCTCCACGTGAAAACAGCAAATTGTGCAGAGGTTTGATTTCTGTTGTGGCTGGTGGACTATGAAAGGGAAGATGGGAGTGTCAACAGAGCCTGGGAGATCTTTTCAGTCCTCACACTTGGCTTTTTTGGAAGCTGGAAGAGAATCATCATTTCCTTCCGATGGCCGAGGTTTCTTCACGGTGGAAATAATTCCAAAAGCAGTTTTCCTAGTTTCTCCATGGAGAAGCGCTGCTCGGCAGTTGGTAGACACTGCAGCCTTGGCATCACTTTCAGAGAGTCCAAACAGCAACCCTAAGTTTGCCACATCATATGGACCTCTTATTTCTAAAGGCCTTTCTGCAGCACTAGATATAATTACATTCTTTCCTTTGCAGACTTGCATCAAATTGAGGGCATTGGAAATTGTGTACCTTCTCATTGTGGAGTCTTTGATAGCTGGGCTGTAGACAAGTTCAAAGCCCACACCTCGGTCAATTGCCACATTAATAGGGGCTCTTTTGAAGTAAAAGGGTAGTTTCTCTGTTACAGTTATGCAGACTAAATCCACATCTAGATGTGTACAAGCAACCTGAAAAAGTTTTTCTGTCTTTGGGAAAACTGCAACAATATCATACTGCCAGACCCTAGAAGAAGTTGCTCTCAAAACATTGCAGTGAGATGGATCCGAAACAATAATTGTCAGTCTAGTTAAAATTTTAATTGGTCTTGATTTTCCCTGTACAATTGGCAAAGTTGTAAAGAGTTCTGAAACAGCAACTGGTTTTTCAATTTCCTGTTTCTTTTCCTTAAATTCAGCAACGTGATTGATGGCAACAACTGAATAGCCAAGGTGAGCAGCGTTCTCCACGAGCCCACACAGCGCCTTCAGGTCCGAGCCTGCTCGCAGGTTCAAATCTGCAAACACCGCCATGCTGGAGTCCCAGGTTCTGTGTTTTATTGTCTTGTTACATCTGTATTTATACCAGTTGATTTTAATCCTGTCAATTTCTATTCCAAAGGTTAGGGTGTTTCTTATCTCCATTCCAGGGAGTAAAGATTATGTAGCTTAAGGGTGATTGTT